TTTATAACCATGAATTATAACGAATATCAATCTTATTTAATTATGTACTTATACGCCCCCTATAAAATACTTTGTAAACCTTATAAAAATGACAATAATATTGAATTAAATTACTTTATCCTAATTAAATAAATTACAAGCCGAGATAACTTATTAATTAATACCTATCCTTATAAAATATACTTATTGTGTTGTATAATTAAACTAGGAATGTATTTTTCCTTTGATTACATTGTTATTGCGAGCAATATTTTATTTCCTTAGTGTCCAAAGTTAAATAAATGCCCATTAACGATTATTCTTTATGGCAACGTCAATACAAAACGTTCCAAAAAAAACGAGATTTTGTATTATGAAAGCAAGCTCAAAATTGTCAATTTGCCTACTTTTTAAAGTCTGTGTGCAACAATAACATTCTAATTTAGAACTTTACCGTATTAATGGGCTCATTCTTGAGACTTTCAAATTACTTTCCCTTCGCATGCAATAAGCAAATACAATAATTAGTAGATAAAACGTTGGTTTACCTATTCGGTAACAATGTGCTTGAAAAAAACTTAACTTTATAACTTTAGCGCCCAATGACTCATACGAGACAAATGGCTGTACTTGGAATTAGTCGACTAATACAAAAAGGCTTTTGTTTTGGCTAAGTGCTAATTTTGTATTAAACACGAGTCCTTATTTGTTGGTGTTATTTGCTTTATGGTAGGTTATCCTCATATCTGTGATGAAAATCTAACACTAATTTTAACTTAGTTAACTAAAAACACATGTTACATTTTTTTTAATTCTTGTTAAAAATAAAAATAATTATTTAATATTATTCTTCAACACGTAAAGTTTGAGAAACTCGGTGTATCCCGTATGGTCTAGTGGCTAGGATACCTGGCTTTCACCCAGGAGGCTCGGGTTCGATTCCCGGTACGGGAAGTATTATTTTGGTAATTTTTCTGAGCTGTTTCGTCTGCTTATAAAAATATACCGTTTTATATCATTATAAGATATTGTCACAAAGTATAGCCTTGATAATGAAACACAGTAGTGCCTATATTATTCTGTAATAATTTAAATTGTATTGGTTTTAAAAAAATACTAAAATTAGTTTCTTTAAATAAAAAATTCACTTTTAATATTATTTTTCAACTAAGACTTTCAACAGAAGGATTTTCACAAATATATACGAAAAAAGGGCTTGACAATTTTTTTAATGACATCATTTGCATTCTTCCCCGGATCGTCATACGGGTACAATCATTCCTATTGATTTTTTTAAACTTTCTGATAATTATCCAATTTATTCTGCTTGTTATTCAAAGCTAAATTAGTAGTATTGTAAACCCAAAGAAGTAGTTACGAATAATTTTCTCGAACATTTACTTGGTCCGTTCGAGCGTGACGCGTCCGAGTCGGCTTCCTTTTCCTATTGACGGTGAAACGTACGCATTGCGTAAAATATTCGCGCCGATTGTTTACACCTTACACATACTAATTATGTACTTACATATCAAATATATATCGTAATTTTGATGCGGTGATGTACCTTCGAGGGTAGACAAAGTGCATTCGCTGCGTAGCGATTCCATAACGAACGTCAAAAATGTTTAGAACTGACAATAACTTTCGATAAGTTACGTGATTATCAGACGTCAGTTTCATGCATTTTTGTAATCGTTATGGAATCGCTTTAGCGCGAATGCACTTTGTCTAGCCCAGCTGGTAATCTAGTTAATGCTTAAACCGTGGTAAACCAGGCGCTTATTTTATATAGTAGTTGACGCACAAAACGAAATAGGACATGCAACCCTTTAAAGGGCGTTTTGTTCCAAGCAGCTGAAATTGTTTTTTTCCAAGTGGAACCAAATACTGGAAGTAATATTTTTATAAGAAAAAGGAGGAAAAATAGCGGCGGGAAACCAAGGTGATCTACGACGCCTAAGGACACCCGCAACTCCAGAGAAACTGCAGACGTTGTTGCCCTTTAAGAATACGGTATGCTCGCTTCTTGGAGCAAAGTACTTTAGTCTGATCTGTCTGGTCGGGTTTTCTCTGTATAAAAAATAAAAACAAAGCAATAAATAAAGATATTATTTTATTTACTTTCCTTAGAAAATTTATTTACAACACGATTATTATGCACATATATAAATCATTACAAATGAGTTAAATAAAAATATACGCAGAATTACAGAACATGATCAATTCAACTAATATATTATTTATTAACAGATCGTTACGCCCATAGACCTCCGCAATACAATGATTATTGCTAAGTATAAAAATTATTACATCTTATGATCTCAATAACATATTCCCGATTTGAAAAAGGTAAACTTATTATTAGTACCAGTTTTGGAACTACTAACGATTCTTGAAATTTACTATTGAAACATATAAATATATGCTGTATACGATACATTGAATACTTTGATAGAAAACTTGTTTCAATTACAGTGGAACCTGGATAAGCGTGAATCCTAGAGACCGCGATACTTGATTATAGAGGTTTCTCCAACCCAAGTTACTCGCTAAGAGAGTTCGTCTGTTAGGAACGGACAAAGAATATCTTAAAGGTTTCTCGTTTATCCAGTTTCGATTGTATATGTAAATGTTTCGGTAATGCGAACGCAAGGTAACATGTTATTGCGATCAGAAATACGTATATGATGTCTTGTAAATATATTACACTTTTTTCACTGTATCATAATAGTGGTCACATTTACACATTCATAAAGTAACGCTAATTATTTCATATTTAATATAAATATTAAATACAAATAAAGGTTTTAAGATTTAATAATTATTATGATACAATGATAAAAATAATCAATTTTATAAAAAAAATATTGTCACCACTGTAACGACATAATTTCATCTTAGACGATAGAAATGACATGATAAGAAGAATAAATAAATGACTAAAACACACGAAGTGACAGCAAGTTGTTAATTCCGTCGCAAATAGAAATGTCTAGAAAAAGTAATTGCGAGCTTCTACTGTCGAGATACTCATTAAAGACTTATTGCCATCCCCCTCATTCACATTGAATAAAAAGAGATAACAATAGTTTAAAACAGTCAGCAGTAGAATTCCACAGTCAGTTTTTATATATTAAGTCATCGTCGACTTCGCTACAGTGGCAACCCTATTTTATACCAAAATTATTTTATTAACATAACCCGGTATATTACCAATCAGTTTTTTTTTCTTAAAATAAATATGGCGATAGTTATTTATTGGTTTAATGCAAAATAAACTAAAAAAAATATTTTATTAAATCTAATTACATGTGCCCATTTCTCTCATGCGATAACACTAGGGTTGTTACATAAATACAATATATATTGGTCATATAAAATTGTTTTTATTATTGTGTCAAAATTTATTTAATTATAACAAAATAACAAATCTTTCTAAATGATTGTGATAAATGGAAAAAAATGAGAAAAAAACTAAAATCCTAACGGAAAACCTAAAAAGGAAATTAAGAAAATTACAAAGAAGTAAATAAATGTAAGATGTTTTAATCACTTTTGAAAATTATATTTTGGAAAATAAAACTTAATTTTATGGGTTATATACTAATTGTCAATTATATAACACAAATATTTTAAGCCGTATTTACACTTAACTTAGGCGTAAAAAGCTTATTTATTACATAATATTATTTATTACTATAACAAATATAACCACTAACTCTATTTATGGTACATTACAAAGTAATACTTTCCATTAATACATACTAAAACTAAGTAAACTGTACATAATTAAACCCATATGACGAAGGTTAGGCCAACAAAGCCGGCAAACCATATAAATAAAATTATTGTCTAGGCAATGAGAAGCAATCAATATTCTACTTAAATGTGGGTTTTCATTGTTGTAAAACTTGTATTTAAACATAATATAACAATATGCAAAATAAAAGTCCTTCAACATTGAAATCTCATGGTTAACCTAACTAGGCAGACATAGATGTTACCTTAAAGTTGTCAAAATAAACTACTTTTTGACTACTTTAATGTCAAACATATATATGTCTAAAAGTCATTATCCGAAAACATTTTAAAAAATCTCCCCAAAATTGAACACTCCATTAATTGCAAATTATTGTAAAATTGTAAATGGAACACAATCGCCTAACATGATTATTTACATTTGAATATTATCAAAAACATATTTAATTCTCATTATATGACAATTTAATAAACTAACATACATCGATGTATGAAAAAAGTTTTTAAGAAAATAAATATAAGACTAGCCCCTAACTCCGTCTTCGTGCTATTAAAAAAAACCTTAATTAGTAGCCTATGTGTTCTTCCAAACTATGTTGCGTTCTCAAGATACATTTAAACATCCATCCATCCAAACATTCGCATTCATATTATTAGTAAGTTTATATGCTAATTCGTATAGGCTTTATCTTTTCATACATTCATTCCTTTGGATGTTTCCATCAAACATTTCACAACAAATTCATGAAAAGAGAAAGTTTTCTATGAAACTACACAGATGTAAGAGAAAGTGAAAATTTGTTAGTTTTGTATAATAATGAGAATTACATATGTAAAATATCAAATTAGAAACTTACAGATCTACAACTTTTCTATTGATTTTATGGCGATGGTATATGTATAATCAGGCACTTTTTTCATGGAAGTCAGTATTTTATTATTATGGAGTTTTTTTTTTTCATATGTTGCATTTTGAAGATCCTTTTTCCAAAACCATTACTCGTTCAGTCTTCCTTTTTCCTTTCTTATTTACATGGACAATCTAAACGATATTAACTTCTCAATCACAAATATTCTAAATTATTTATAAATTCAATTTTTATTTATCAATAAATATTGCAAATGTAAGACTGATATTGATATTATTTTTGGAATAATCCTTTTAAATATTCGATTCTTTATCATTTTGTTGTAAATCGATTTTAGTACAGTAAAAAAAAATCAAAATTTGTGCATTTTTATTTAAATCATCGAATCTTCTGTGTTCAATTTTTTTCACCAAATTACTTGCCTACTGTACTGTACAAAATATTTAAGAATCAAAAAATATTTATAAGGACGAATGGTAGGAGTACATATCACAAATCTCCTATAACCATGAAAGTTTTCCTCGCATTTTAAAACCTTTTATAAAATAATAAACTAAAATGAGTACAATTTACCTATTGGTAAATATGTAACCCTGGGTTTCTGAGACCAAGTTCCCTTTATAAAACATCTTATTATCTCTGTTTTGTCAAACATAATGGGATGACGATGTTTGATATGGAGATCTTGGTCTCAGAAACCAATGGTTAGTCACTTTACAATAATCTTCTTTGACAAAGAGTTTCATTTGAACTTTATGAAACCAACTTATTTAGATATTCAAATGTCTATTATCCCCAAAAACACTCAGCACCATTTAAATGCTGATTAATTACTTCCCTGACTTATATCACCTACTTTATTTTCCTTTGTGATGTTAGATTTATTACCGCACTCAGAGACGCTTCATCCTTACTTAAAGATGTGTGTAGATTTTATACAAAGTCTACACTAAGGATCTTACTAACAACTTAACTTTGCGGCAGTAACACAGTTTAACTGACACTTGGTATGAACAACTATATATAAAAGTCACATTGTCTGTTTGTATCACTAGGATATTGGCACTAGTGCGAGCTGGAGTGTACATTGTGCTGGGCCTTCTTCTTGCGCTGCGCCAACATGTCGTAGAAGGGATTGTGACTGATGGACCGACGCAAGCATTCTATCCATTCGTCTCGTTCCTCCGCCGTCGCTGCTGACATTCTGAAAAATACATAAATCTTATGTTAATTGTGTTATAAATTGCGAATATTTGGATGTATGGATGCTTGTTAGAAGGTATCTGGAGATAGACTTCATGGGCCGCGGACAGAGTCGCAGGCTACAGCTGGTTAATCAATAAATTTAATTAAAATTATCGACTCGCCTTTTATTTAAGAATCCATTTAATATTGCCAATATGAGTGTTGAATTTGCTTTATTTTAAATTAGCAACAATCTCACGAATATTAACCAAAGATTAGATGTATCGAAACATGGATGTTTATTAAAGAGTATCTCCATAGCGGATGGATTTCAATATAAATTTGCACAGATGTAGAACACAGTTAAGAAGACATAGACTACTTATAAAGTTTTTTTAATTAACTGTCAAAAGCTAGTTACCTATAAACCGTATGTTTTCCTTCAACAACTTTTCCTTCAGAATCAGTTTTGCAGGCCTTGATGAGATCCGCACCTCCGCTCGCGTACAGCTCCAAGCAGTGCGGCCGCTGTCTGTCACTTGCTGGACGGACCTGGAAATATTCAACAATACATTAAGATTGAAAACCCACTATCATTGAAATTGACTAAATATCAGATATTTTACATGTTAGGAAATCCATATCTTACTAATATTATAAATGCGATTGTTTAAATGGATCTGTGGACATCCATGGAACGGCTAAGCAAATCTTGGTAAAATTTGGCATAGATTTAGAACATAGTCTGGAAGGTCACATAGGCTACTTATTAAGTCTTTTTTGTTTAATTTCACGCGGACGGAGTCGCGAGCGACAGCTAGTAATTAAATAACTGAACAAGTGCGTAGTCTATTTAAATGTGTCACGAGGGTTTAAATAATTTTATTGCATATCCTGAACTGGAAGGTATGAGAAGCAATTTAATGAACCAAACTACGTTAATGTTCAAAATTATTGCTTGCTTGTTCCTGACTTTGGATGATTGACCAAAATTACGATTTATCATTAAATTTCACCTTACTTACGTAATAAATGAGGAAAAATAATTTACTATATTATAGGTTATTTGACGTACGTCATTGGCCACAGAGACGTACGTCAAATAACTGCTATATTAAAATTCGGATCAAAAAAAAGGAAAAGAGAAAATACTTACCGATATATTTTCTAATGGAATGATACCTCTCGGCTCTTTATCCGTCGTGTATTCGAAGTAATATAAGCAGTTATCATTCAATATGAACCACCGTCTTTTCCATGATTTGTATCTGAAATTATAAGTTTATAAAAATTAAGACACGACATTCAATTTGAGTTAAAAAAAAACTTTGTATTCAAAGGAAAATATTTATGAAAAATTGTTCTTTTAAAACTTTCAATATACCTTGCTCGATTGCCATCTTATTGATATTAAAAAAAAGAAATATTGCTCACTTAAATACTGTAAATTTATTTACTTCCAGAATTTAACTAAATATTGTTAAAAAGAATCTCATAAGTAGGTCAAAAGAAGTATTATGTGCGCATTTCATATTATCTACTGCAACTACATTTTTTTTTAATTTAAATAAATTATCAACCATTTCATATATGTAATAAATAAAGAATAATTAATTTGTATTCACATACCTTCCACCTTGTTTCCAGAGCCATCCCTCTTTGTCAGGATTGAAGAAAGTATGCATCAGATCATTGCCGTCGTCCTCTGGTATTTTGAAGGGCTCCGTTTTTATAGACTCGTATAATGACTGAAATATAATAACACCAATTACACTGTAAGTACGACTTGTCAACAAGTCTACATTCGCCGTATGCCACAGCCACTCCTTATCATTACAGTGATAAGAAGCAACTTATAGTTGTTTACATTTCATACGAGGACAGAGAAGTGTGACAGAGGAGTAGATAAAGCAGTACTGCTACCGTAACACTACTGTTTTATCACTGGTAATATGATGAGTTCCAATAATAACAGTACTGCACTGTCTATACTCTGCGACTTTTACCCTCGTGTGAAATATTATTACGTCAAAGCAAGTTGAAAAGTTCGCAAAGAGGTCAATGTTGTCAATAACAAACAGTTGTATCACGATTCGTAATCACGTTTGCATGGTTCACTTGCTTCAAATAATAGTTGAATTTATTAATAGATGGATTTATTCAAACAATTAAATCGTTAATAAAGCAATGATTTTGATAAGTAACAAATATTCGCCCTAATAAGTTACGTACAATAATAAAAGTAAAAAAAAAATGTCTTCGAAACTAAAGTACGATTAAGTCAAAGCTATTTTGCGATATGGGTTTTTAAGTAATGACGTCATTGTTAACTGATATTTTACTATACATAAGTACGTACGCATGATTTGACTCATGCGCGCTTAGTGACATACATATGTTAACATAGTACAACAAATGGCGCTGATATGTATGTACAGAATGTCGTTCACATGTGCCCGCCTACGCGCATTCCAATCAAATCGCAAAGTTCATTTACAATCATTGCATGCAATATTTTTTGTTCATAAAATTGATAATGAAACGGGACTTATTGTATTTTATAATATTTAATATTAAAATTAAAAATACATTGTTAAATTCCAGCTTTGACTAACCGTAGAATTCTGAGAACGAAATCTCTGTATAAAACATATCGTCACCCCTGATAGTACCTTTGACAAAATATTTCAAACGGGGATTTCAGCCTTAGAAAACCGCGACAAAAGAAGTTAATTAACCACTCAAAACCACTCGAAAATTAAACCTAGCAACTCCAAAAGCGAATTTAAGTGTTACTCACCAAGAGCAACTCATGAGGCAAATCACCGCCGTTGTTGATGCCGCGGTTCATGGCAACGAACTGTTCAGGCGCTGGCTTATCCTTCACGCTAGGGTTGTGCAATGACGTGTTCAGCATGATGATGGCAAAGCTTAGCACGTAGCACGTGTCCGCGTTGGTGAAAATGTCCGGGTTCAGTTGACAGTATCGTTGCGCGAAGCACTCCATCATGCGGTCGATTTTCTGAGCTTCGCCCGGCAATCGAAAACTCCAAAGGAATTGTCTGTAACCAACAAGTATATTCAATTATTAAGCTGTGTGTTTAAGCCACAAAAGTATACATTTAAAAATCGTAGAATTAATCGAGAGCAAATATAACTAGATGTTATTAAACGTACTTTTAAGAAGTTCATAAATTGTTTTATTTAGTTTTTTGCATAGCAAAATTGACTCGATGATTTTGAACAAATAGTAGAAATGGTGTTACTGTGGCCATAGGATATATTCTCATTAGCATTCCTTATCAATTCCTTGCCTTGTGACGTCATCAAATCACTACTGAAAGTGACACAACTTCGTAACAGAGGTTTTCCTCTCTTAAGGCTGATTCATTTGTCTCAGCTATTTATAAACTTGCGTTTAACTTTTCGTTGGCCGCGAATTATATTAGTATTAACCAATAAATACTTAGCAGGAAATCTACATCACTTCTTAACACTGTACGTATTTTATAATAAAGTTTAACAAATATGAACATAAAATCAACAAAGAACATTTATTATCGCAAACAGGATACGTTGTTCATGTACATTTTCGTGACTAAAGCAGGAAAAAACCTTAAACATGTGTGTTAATGACCCATCTGTTATCAATGTTAATACCCACATCGGTATTGTTTTTTTTTAAATAAGTTTAGATTACAATAGCACTGTTTACATTAAGCCAAAGTATCTATTACTTTATACGTTACGCAATGTGAAAAAATCCTTAAGAGACATTTTCCTGTATACCGCTTACGTGTAGTTGTCGGGTTTTTACTAAAGCTTTAAATATTATTAGTCCGGACAACCTACGCCATTAAACAGGATATAAAGAGGACAAACATACGAAACATAAGTAAAAAAAAAACAGACAAATTGAGAACCTCCTTTTTGAAGTCGGTTAAAAACAAAATATAAAAATGAAAATATGATTTTTTTTAAAGTATATTTGTAAAGAGGTTTACTACGAGAAATAAATGAAAGTGTAAAAAGTCACTGAGTACATAAACACTGACAGGTTGTGCATTATACCAATAGTAGAAACACTCCCTTTGCATAATGACCCCCGCACGACAGTTAACAGACGCTTTTGTTATTAAAACTATAACTATAAACTGTAATTAAAATGACTATAGTATATTATTAGTACCAAGATACATTATAGTCTGACCAAGAATATAGAAAACTTGAGGATATATTTAAAGATATTCTTTAGACACATAAACGCTGGTTAACCTAAAAGCAAAATATATTTAAGGCCAAATGAAATAACCATGGGTTTCTGACATCAAAATCGTCATCCCTGTCTGTGTTATCCTGTCACCATCTTGAGCACAACAGAAATAACAATATGTTTTCAACGGACATTTTCGATTCACGATTAACGATTGAAACAAGTGTGGGAATTGAATTGGAATGTCAAAATGTCTTCATATAGAAATATCAGGCGTGTTTTCCACTTACGTAATTCAATATTTATCTGTTGCGATGGAAGAAAAAATTAATATTAAACGTTATAAAATAAATATGAACATGTGTTCAGATAGTTAATTATCGAACAGATACTGTTCATAATATAAACAAATAATTTGTTAAACAGTAATACCATTTCGTAATCTAAAATAAACATCTCGTGTTCTCAGAAGAGCTGCACAGAGCGGCGAAAAATAAACAATTATTGTAAGGAGAATAATACTGATAAAATGTAACTAGAACAGAAAAAAAACTATGTAAACTAACTTTTTATATTGAGATAGACAAAAACTGTGTGCGTTTTGACTTACGCAAAAATCTTACTATTCTACTAATCTTTCTAATATTATAAAACTGAATGTTTTGATGGATAGATGGATGAATGTTTGTTTGTAGGTATCTCCAGAACGGCTCAACGGATCTTGATAAAATTTGGTATAGTTGTGGAACATAGTCTAGAAGAACATAATCCCGCGCGGACGGACGCGGGCGACAGCTATATTTAATACGATTGTTGTCACTGGGATATAAGGCGTTGCACAATTCATTTCTACGTGAATTTTCTACATAAACATTGATATCAAAATATAGTCTATTCTAGAAATCTATATAAATGCAGAACTTTCTGCATTATGATAACAAAGATAACGTTATGAATTAAATCCTAGGAAGTACCAAAATAACTTTTAAACAATTACCACTATTAAATGAAGAATTAATTCCAGTAGTTACTTTGTTACGGGGAAAATTAAATATTTAAACAATAATTTATTTTATGTAAAAGGTATTGTGTTAATTACCTTAACGCTTGTACTAAAATTAAATCCGTGAAGTCGTGTAATTCGACGAAGGCCCGAAGCACAGCTTCGTTGAACTCTGAGCGTTCTCCCAGATAGTCGCCGATCGCCGTCTTACTGAGGCCTTCGCCTTTGTGAAGGAACTGCGCCACATCTTCCGGTGTCCTTTGCAGCAATCCATTCTCGTAGAGGTATTCTATGCCTGGAAAGAATAATTGCAATATTTAGTTATTTCATATAAATATATAGAATTTGTTATTATTGTAAAAATAATTACTAAGCGGGAATTTTCTTACAACAATTTAACAATTACATCCTTGACTTAGTAAGTTCATTTCTTTGTAAACAGGGACTGAGTTCAAAAACAATCTGAGACCGCGTAATCGATACGCATGTTTTCTTTCAGCGGTTGTTTACTCGATGTAATGCGTCAAAAGTAGACGATATTACAGAACAATGGAGGGAAAGAAATGGAATGGAATATATTGGCACAGATATAACACAGTCGATATAATAGATATAATATAATACCCTAACCCTTTTTTCACAATCATGCGTAGACGAAGTGTTATTATTATCAAACATATATGCGTTATGCGTATCTTAGATCGTTTAATAATATTAAATTAATGCTGGTTTATCCCATACATCCGTCTCGAGAGCTTACAGACATAGCTACAAATACTGGTAAAATGCGTTGGAAAGTTTCAGCTGCTAAGCATAGAAATTTATTGCAAAAAGGGGATAAACAGGCGCTTTGATGTCGAGCATGGTCGTAAATTACGCTCGGAGTGACGTCATTTAGTTCCAAACGTTCCCCAGCAGAGGGGGCGGGACGTAGGCCGTTAGGCGATCCGAGCTTTTATCGATGAAGCCTCCTTTTGATACCTAACTCCAGTACCCTTAGATTACTGTCTGCAGAATGATTAATGTTGTATAAGAACTAAATCGTTTCTAGATAATAATTCCAGTCGCCGCGTTATGTACGAGCTACAAGAAACGTCATTTAAACTGCAACTAATGCAGGAAAGGTAAGATGGCGACAATACATTAGATTTTTTATATGTCTACGATGTTTGACCGTGCTAAATTGTAGATAGCATAATGACAAATTGCCATGAATGGTGAAAAAGAAAACGGAGGGTTTGGAGGCGAGCAAACGACGCGAGGCAAGAGTAACGAGCGAGCTTGTTAGCTCTCAGTCGCTGTAAAGTTTCGCATAACTATAAACAATCCTTGTATTTGCATCAACACCTGCCACAAACATTTTATTATATATTTGTCCATGTAAAGACCCTTATGTACCTTTCAGATCAGATGAATACGTAAATATTAAGGGGTAAAATACATCACATACGGGTATATATGGCACGTCATGAAATAAAATTTGAATTATGCATGAGAGCATATACCAGCCACATGCTATTATGCAATGCAGTCAGGATGCTATATTACAAATGCCTGCGAAGCTAGGAATCAGGAAGTGTATGAATAATTATGCTGAGATAGTCATTGAGATTGGGTCTGCGATACCATTAAATTGCAAAAAATTCAGGCAACAAATTTTAAGAAAAAAACTGACCTTACAGCGAATTTGAGAAAAAGAAAACATCGAGGTCAAATTAAAAAAAGAATCCGTTATTCCACTTGCATGTCAATACAAAAGCACAACATTAAAAGTCGCATACAGCAACAGTAACGAGAAGGAAAAGGCAGTAAAAGGTTTTGTTGTGCGCTCACTAGTGACATGCCTTCAAAGAGGAATACATGTTAACAATTTATCATCAGCGAGTGTTACGTAAACTACATTGTCCGCAAAACCAGGACGACTCTATTGTCCATCGAGGCGTTGTTTAAAACGGGAGCGCAGCCAGCGGAGCGAGCTCGCAAGAGTTTTCAAAGGAAATGCACCTTTCCTCCACTTGTTCTACGTTAATTGACTTCCTGCTATCAAACACGACCTAATTAGATGATAGCGAGAGACTTTTTGTTTACACGGGCAATAAAAAAAACTGTCAGGATTTTGTGCATACAAAACGTAATTTAAATGATTAATATGTACGCAGGGAAAAAATGAACGAAAATAAATTAAGTTTTGAATATTGGGCTTCAGAAGCTGAAAGTTTACGTTGTTATTCCATACAGACTTCTAGATACATTCAAACAAAAATAGTCAATAGTGTTTTATTTTGTTTTGGAAAAACCACAACACAACAGTGTTTCCTGGTTGTTTATTATTCGTAGTATATTTACGCATTCCTAACTCATGTCAGAAGTTACGTACATCGAGTTATTGCTGCGTAAATAAAATACCATTGCAACTGACCGGTTTATAAGATGACATCGGTATATGTAATTAGTTACAGAACACTGATCACAGACAGGCAGGAGATATTGCATCTAACGTATTATATTAATGTTTTACAATATAAAATAGCTTGTCTTAAATTAATTAAATACATCCATGATAGATTTTTATCAAGGATAAATGTACAATTATAATGTTTTATCATTTAGATGTCTTTCATCAAGCAAACTGTAGCTATAGATGGGTCCAATCCCTAAATAACCTGCATTCCAAATTGCTTAATGCCCTCCGATGCGAGGAAAATTAAATCTCTCACATCATCATTTAAAAAATCACAAGCACATCAAAAAATAAAGATTTCCCAGCAAATTAAAATTTACAAGAAAGTTGAGTATTTTAGGTAAAGAACGTAAAGGTGAATAACCTTGTTATAACAATATTGATATTTGCGATTATAATCTTAAGGAAACAGACGTCATCAAAGTGATGTGCTAATTTCGTTTTAAATGCTATTCAGAAAGTTTACCGACGTTCTAATTATATTATTAAAATACTGATTTAGCAAAGTAAATAGTGATAACCTTGATCTGTATAATTCCGTCTATTTCAAAATAGAGAACTCATTTTTGTGTCCACTATTGTGAACTTTGAAGAAAACACGTCTCAACACCTACATTTCCAGTACAAGGACGGCATTTTATAACATGCATTCTGCGTACCTGACCCACATTCGTCTTTTAGAATCTTACATTAGCTGCGTTAAAAGGCCTAAAGTGACGTTTTATATCTTACAACCACGGTCATTTAAGCGGCTTGTTTGTTTATTTTTAGATTTACATTTACCTAATTATTTATTACATAAAATTGTTTGTCTTATTTATGTATATGTTCACTGATGAAATATCAAGTCAGAAAGATGCGAAGAGACAATCTTTTTTAGTCAAAAATATTTCAAAATTTAGACTTTTATCATAATCGATTTATAAGGAAAAATAAAAATCTTCCACAATATAAGAGCGGTGCTCAACTGTGCGGAAAACAAATTATTTATAGCTCATACAATTAAGCAGATTGTTATCTATTTGAGCACCTTTTATGTTATCATTAAAACCACTAATTAAATGAGGGAACATTGTGTGAGCATCGTAGTTAATTATCAGTTATATAACATAGTTATCCGGGCAGGTGTGTCTTGGTAGCCGGACATTTGACATGTTTAACTTAATTGTCTGTTATGTTGGAAGGCTTCAGTGTTAAGATTCGAAGTATCATTTGATATGGTTCAATTTCAAAATACAAGTACCATAACATGATTCATCGTGGTTGATACAGAACATTGCAGTCTACTAGAGAAAAAACAAAGTAATAAACTAAATAGCGCGATTTATAGATTCTACAATTAAATATTTACCAATCTAAGATGGCAATCTTTATCTTGAGTCTAAAAAAACGATGCCTACAGATTGACATCGTATTAATTTTACTGTATGTTATTCGTCAGAAAATAAGTGTATTATAAAGTGACGGAAATATATGTAATATTTAAAAGACATTTAGATAATCCAGTAAGTCAGAAACATCTGGTGACTGTCGCGTCGAGCGTGGGAATGCCGCACCTGTCTACCAATGCTGCTATTATACGATGACGAGCCAGCTACGTATAGCATCACATACACCAACGAGTTTATAATTGACCAACTACAACTTATATTTCCAAGGAAAAACTTGGAAAGTAGAATAGATAGAGAGGTGTAGTTTGAAAGTATTAGACCTCTGGTGCGTCTAATCGATCATAAGTGTCAAGAAACGATAATTACGATATTAGGTCACGTCGGGATAGGGAAAAGTGTATAGGTTTCTCTCAACCTTTTTAATTTTAGGGTAAAGGTAAAAAGGGTGGTATGAGTAATTCTAATCGAGTAAGGTAAAGTACCGATTTTTTTTTAAATATAAATGTCTTAATAAATTTGGCGCTTTTTCCGAGCCATTAATTAAAAGAAAATTAATTAAAAAAACAGAAGTCACCGTATCAATGGCACATTAATTTCAAATAAAGATACCTTCGGAATGTTCAGAAGATAAAACTCATCGACAAGTTGTTAACAAACAAAAACAATTACTAATGGAACTGAAAATACATTAAAATATCAGATTTAGCGAGTTTTTACGTTGAGATTAAAGTAAGATAAGAAGATGATTTACCTTTCTTGGGGTCCATATTGAATTTCTTTCTGCCTATGCTCATCTGTTTGGCCTTGCTATTCTGTTTGCACTCCTCCTGGCCGTCGAGAGCCTCCAGCTCCGCCACAACCTCGCCCAGCTCATCTTTAAGTTGCTGCAAAAAATAAATACAAATTAATATTTTAGCTCCGCTTCAAAATCAAGGTAAGAGGATATTCAACAAAACTGGTACAAGAAAATTCTTCTGTTTTATACTATGTTTGTCACATATTCAATTTTATATGTAAAATTTCAAAACAAATGACTTAAAAAACTTGGTGATACGATACCATCAGACAAAACAAATGAATGTATGAAATTAATTCTGTGTATTGTGTAATGTAAGTGCTTTGAATTATTTAATGAATAAATTATTAAAAATTTGCACAGTTTCAAGCCATTTAACAAGTACTCTTCATAACAGAATGTAGGTCACAACTTAAGTTAATAAGTAAAGACTAGTGAAATGAACAAGTTGTTTACATCATACAGATTTAGTGCCAACTTAAATAATAAATTATAATTACATTTCCGGTCACACTGCTCTGATTTAAAATCATTTTGCTTACGATATACAAACAAGACATGTTTTCCAATTAAAGTAGTGAAAGGTAACTTTTGAGACCCTCTGTATTATTCTTCAAAATTTTATGACATTTTTTAATTCACATTTGTTTACGTAGCACTACAAAGTAATCAACAAGTTATTAATAAACGTAAGTTGTATACAATCTGACAATAACTTGGAAACTAGTCTGCGGTTAGCAAGCTCCGTTGATAGATACAAATTGCAGCGAGCATTGCCGCGCCGGCGGCAAGGTGAACCGCAAAGCTAAACCGTGCTTTGCAATTAGAATGCCTAACATTATTTACTTTCGCACCAGTGCTGCACCGGTTTATCTTTATAAGAAGGTCGTTTATGCAATAATCTAGTGTATAAAAATAACAAACACTTAAAATTAAATTGTAATCAAAAGAGATGAGCGTGCGAGAGCGAGAGATGAGAGACAATCTTATAGACATTGTAAAAGTTGACAGATTCCTAGAATAAAATAAGATGGAATGAGTATGAATAAACTTTGCATACAATAGATAACATGACAGTATTTTTTAGATCCAAGACCTAAATACATTGTAACAAATTTTTAGTTACGTACAAGTGCTAAAATTATGCATGTTAGCACTACTAAGTCAACTGTGTCATTGTAGCTTACTTTAGTAGGTAAAATAAGATGTAATTTATGTATATTACTTTGGTTCAATGTCCTGCTCAAGTTGAAATTGTTACATTTTTTTATATGATTATTATAAACATCACATTCTTTGAATATTTAAATCGTAGTATTTCATGGAATATAAAGGTTGGAATAATGTTAAAAATTTGAATAAAATGCAGTACTTTACGCGTATGGTGAAACTAGTTAGTCATGTTTGCTGATGATTCATATCACATTCCCCTTCATTTCAATTAAAGACCACTAAATTGTCTACACTGTACTAATCGTTAAAACAACAAAGATGAATTATGAAATAATACTGGGAAGGACAATAATTATTCATAAATATTATCAATGTATTTGGTTACCTTATGTCTTATTCATTTGTTGTCATGTTATATTTTTGTTACGAATTTATTGTTTTAGTGGTGACAAATGTCATGTTTTAATACTAAAGCAGTTAATTATGAGCTATTATTCCATCCATATAATCGTAAGCTAAATAATACCTACAGGATGATTACTTATTACAACTAATTTAATTTGTACACAAAAGGATATTTTTTAAAGCTTCTAGGATAAGATAAAATAGACTAGACAATAAAATAGAACTACGGAACGTCGACCATGACAAATAAAAACTAGCTTATACGAGTAACGTGCAAATAAAAAGACGTATTGCTTGGTCAAGCATTGCCCGCTCGTCGTGCTCTCTCATACTATTTGTATTTTTATATTAGTTTTTACAGCAGACTGTTTAAATCGTTCAACCTGATCATACGGTTTCTTCTGCAGCTGCAATAATATATTACAAAGTTCAATATGACAACCATAAGTGCTTTATAATTCTAATATGAGTTCATAAAGTTCTTCCGTAAAGTAACTTTTTTGCTTGAAAATGAATGGAATCAAACAAAGAGTGACAATATGACATTGTCAGATATTCATTATGTAGATATTATACCTAACTTTAATTATTGCTAGGAATATAAATGTCATCATATTATTACTTAAATTTTATAATTAAAGTGTTCACCTGTTCTACATCTCGTTATCCAAGTATTACAAAGCAGGTGTATTTAAATATTAGAACTACTTTTAACGAGAATCATGTTTAACTTCGAATAAAATTAAAATTTACATATACATATTATACATATAAATTATAGTATAATAATTGAAAATACAAAGTTGACCTTTTATCATTAAGGCGTGCACCTTTAAACCGTTTTATAGGTTAATAACCACATGTTAGAGACTGAACGCTAATGTTAGATACTACCATGGGTATAGTATTATATATTTTAAAATTTAATATAAATTATATTAGGCTTAAGGAAACTTGTATTTAATAAACTAGGTAATAAATGTTACAATTGCCACAACTTTTGATAGACAAAGTTCCCGCATGATTTGGGGGCATTACCGAAATCAAGATCGCTGCACAGGAAGTATGACTTTAAAAAAATTGTACGATAAAATGACTCATTGTCAGTCGTACGATAAGGCATTTGAAATAAATCAAACAAGCTCACAATGTACCGAGCGTTCCACCGCTACGCTCTGACTGCGCCGCGATACTACTTTCACACAAGGGCAAAGCAGTATAACATAACATACTATATTGACAGCAATTATGGGCCGAAATGGCAATACTGAACTGTTTACTGCACTAACTTACTGTTCCGCCCTTGTGTGAAACTAGCATAACATAATTTGCGGTCGGCAACCCACTCCCCCGGGACACGTGGGTCCTACTCGTCTAGACGATAAAATAATACTAAAAACCCTACCACTTTATGCTATAGAAATGAGAATATAGTATAATATAAAACTTAGGGGTTCGAGGGCAAAAGTATAGTCGATTTACTATGTATTAAAAAGTTTATCGCTATTTTTTTGCAGTGGCATGTTAGGTATACCATGTTTTTCAAAAATGTTGTTCTTGCAATTGGAACAAAAGCTTCATGAATTAAAAACTGTGTATGCAGGAAATGCTTAAAATGTATACAAATTTTTGTATATTTAAATGTAGAAAACGGTATCCTAGTAATTTAAAACTATGAATATGAATTAACATTTCTATTTAACATTGCAGTAAATCTAAAAGCTTGCACTGAAAAATGGATATAAATAGAGAAGTTTTTACTTCGAAAATGTTAATCCTGAAACCGTAATAGTCAAATATCGCTACTTAATAATTAAAACACCAAAGTACATAATGATTATTCTTCTAATTCATAAGACGTAAATACTTATAATATAAAATACACATCGATATAGATTTCACAGCAAATTGCTTTCCTTGCAAAAGTTGACAATAACTCGCACACTCGCACTCCAGAATTGCCTATGTGCATTAGTTCAGGCCTATGAGAGTTCTGTTTTTATTAACCCCCCCGTCTAGACAGGTTTTTACTGGAGCAGCATCAGGTGCATGAAAAGTGGTTTAGAAATCTTTCTTGTTACAGAAAGGACAAGTATAATTAAGTTTACTTGTCTCTTTAGAAATTCAAATGAAATGAGATTGAAGTAGCTGTTCTTCCTTTTACAACAGACTGTGTGCTCATTTTAATTGAAATTGGATTGAACTGCTGCAATACAGTAGATTAATAGAAATTCGTTTTATAAAGCTTCCTCATCAATATCGTTTTTCGCAATACAAAAAAAATACAATTACCTTTATTTTTAGTAATACATACATGAATAAAAACTAAACAAAGTTCAAGTGACAATTTTACGCTAAATAATCATATGTATTAAGCAAATTAAACTTTTAAAATTAACATTAATGTAACTCAAAATCATACCTAAATAGGAATCTTACACGTTTCGTTGATACGATACAGTTTCTCTGTAAATTGGAATATATTTATTGAGAATGATGGAATATTTCTACACTGTAATTGAACCTTTCACTGATAAAAGTGAATGTGTCGGACAGACTTTATTGCTTAATACATATAACAATTTTATTGCATTACTTATTACTTCGCTTGCACGTAACATGTTATGCCAATCTTTTTATTTCATTGATTTGTATGTATTAAAGTAAAATGTAATTTTCCCTTTCAGTAGACATAGCAAACAAGAAAGGAATTTAACAGTTCCCTTTAATCTTTGTTATTTTTATTCTTTTTTGTTTGAGTATAAAAGTGAACATTGTACTGCGGGGTTAGTAATTTTATTGTACATCTTACATCCTGTAAGCGGCGCGTCCATCTGACTTTCAATTAAGAGTGAAATTACTTAGTTCATACACGTCCCGGACTCGAGTGCTTTGTGTGAATGAAGTGCGTTAAGTAGAGGGGCGCCAACAACACGGACATTAATCATAACCATCATTATCAAAGGCTAGTCTAGACTAGTTATGTTTATCATACAATACTCGATTACAATGGAATTTTTATTTTTTGAGCAATAATATCACTTGCGCTGTAAATAAAAATACCATCGCCATCTCGTATAAGTTAACGATATAAAAACGCTAGCAAATTGGACAGGAATTATTTATAATTTTGGTATAATAGAACATAAACCACAGATGAAAAGAAAATTAAAAAAAAAATAGTTTATTGTGCTGGCGGCGATCACACCGAAGGAAGACTAAATAAAAAGTTAATATAGTAACATTTGTGTTATTTAGATAGTTATTAGACAAAATTAAGCACACACCAACAAATTCAATCACATCCCTAAATATACCGGGAGTTGATCCAGACATCGATCCACGCGGTCAGACTACAGCAGTCGACGCGGAACGCCCTATTGGGAGTTTGTTGGGTGCGCGTCATTTAAAAGCAACGCTATCCAGTAATGTACGATGCAGATTAGTCCGCAATATAAATAGCAGAACCCCGCTATATTACGGCGTTTTTGTGTAACAGTTACATATCAA